ATCACGGGCATCAGGCGTGTTTGAAACACGTCAGAAAAACAGCCATTAAGGTTAAAACCAAGATTCTTGCTCCAGACTGAAGGCCTGAGCTACAGTAGGTGTCCCAGTGCTGTAGCAGGGCACTGGGGTACTGTGGTCATGTCTGCTGCAGCCCCAACATGGAGCATTGGAGTCTCCTGGGTTTTGCAGCTGTGTAGAAATGTTAAGATGGTTTTTGAGATCTTCTCTCAGCACATAGGGACTGCTTGCCCAAACCAGCAAGCTCTGAGCAATTGCATACGTTTTGTTGACACGGCTAAAAGGCAAACCCTGCCAGCAGTGCAGATCACTCCAGTGCTGAGATCTGAGCACACTTTTTGTGCTTTGCTGAATCAAAGTTACTATCTGTAAGTGTTGGAGCAAAATCCAAACCTGGTGTCTGTGTTTCATTAAGATCAAGGGTGGTAAAACATGTTTAGCAGTGTTTTATTTGAAGATTTGCTGTGGTAACAGGAAATTTTGGATGCCTCCTTATGTTATGACACTTTTTTCCCTGTCTAGATCAAAATAAGGCCCCTGGGTGCAGGCTACCTGTCCCCTGAGTGGTTCCTTGGCACTGCAGGGTTCAGCCATGGTTACAGCTCCCTGAACCAGGGCTGATCTGTACAGAGAAACATTGAGGTTTGTTTCTTGTCGCGTCCCCATCACCTTGGTGTCATCGAGCATCACTTCACCCTGTGAGAGCTGCCAGAATCCTGCTCTCTGCTCGCTCAGCCAGCCCCTGTTGTCACTTCCCCCTCCCCAGCTGCAGCTCACTGCTGGGGGAGGAAAAGTGAGATTGATGGCATCAGGTTCCCTGTGCGTGGTGTTGGCATCGAGTCAGGGGGTTTTATAGCAGCACGTTGGCTTTTCTTGCTGAATTTTGATTAATGGAGCAGGCGGGAGCTGCTGCTGTCTCCCAGCTCTGGCGGCTGACAGGGGTGAGCCTAATCTGATGTTTAAATGGATTTGGAATGTGTCCGTAGTTTTGGCATCCCTGTCCTGAAGGAAGGACCATCTGCTGCAAGATAACCCGATCTTGGAGGGTGCTTACTCAGGGCTGTTTGAAAAGAGAGGTGACACACATAAAATTTGAGGGCTTTCCCCAGTGCTTGCTAATTTGGTGGCAAAGAGGCGGCTCATGCTAGAGACCTGAGGTTTTCCCTTGCCTTGTTTTTCCAATCATGCTCTGCCCTGTCAGAGAAGATCACCAGATAGTGTCATGAGTACTTGTCACAGATGCAGAAGGAAAATAGCTCCTACACGTAAAACAAATGTGTTACTACAAGCAGCTAACAAACTTCTCTGGTCATTATTTGTATCAGATGCAGAGAAGTCAGTTGCAAGAAGATGGGAAATGATTCTTCTAAGGAGCAAGGAGCTCACTCCATCCCTGCCTCCCCTTAAGCCTGTGGGCAGAGGGCACAGGCTTTTCTTCCAAGATAACCCATGTGGATCCTGCTTGTGATGTCTGCATGCTGCTGGGCTATTGGAAGTGGAATCCTTGCACCATAAAATTACTCAAGAATATTTTAATAATTTAGAGCCACAGGTCTTACATGGTTTGTTCTCTAAAGATTGATTTAGCTTCTTATTAAGGGAATTGGGATTTCAGTGTGAGAATCTGAACAAAATCTAGGCAGTTTTTATTTTTTTTTTAAATATCCACTAGTGTAACTCACCAGGGAGAAAAATTTCAAAGCCTGTCCAACCCTATCTTGAATTTTTTATTCTTTTGCTTGCCTATTTCCATTCCCAAGGTGTTCTTGTTAAGGAAGAACACCTCAGCATTATTGTATTATTTTTAAATAAGCCACAATCACTTTAAGGAGTTCAGGGTAAAAAAATCCACTAATACTTTGCTCCCCCCCCTCTGGTTTTCAGAAGTTTGATAATGCAAGATGTAGGCTGCATGTAAATGGAAGGGTAGGCAGCTGTAATTGCACAGCTCTCTCCCTCTGTCCAGGGAAGGCCCTTTTTTTCTTTAATTATCCATCGATTTTAAAAAGATGCAAGACGAAGTGGAGCTGACAGGGCCCTGGCTCTCATGGAGCAAGGAAGGTGCTTATACCCCACTATGGCAGTGGGTACAGGAGCCATCCCTGAGAGCCAGGGTCTGTGTCCCTTGGCCATGGCCACTTGGAGCTTCTCTGGGGACTGATGCAGATCCCACTCTGTGCAGCTCCCGTGGGAGCTCAGGTCTCGGCTCTACTCTCAAACCAGACATTGATAACCTGCTGAAGTGGAGTTTCTCCTCAGAAATGCCATTTCTTTTCTCCTGGAGATTTTGTGAACTTGAAAGAGAATCATGAAAAAAAATGCTCTCCCCTGTCCAGCCCATTAATTCAGCCTGCTCAGGACAGAATTAACCTTGGCAAGCCTTCCAGAGGAGAGAGTCATTCTAACCTTAAAAATCTGCTGATTAAAGCTGGTTTCAGGAATTCGATTTCACTTAATGCGTTGGCTGAGTGCCCAGCCTGGCATTAACATAGCCACAGACACACAGGCCTCTGCATTTCACCTCCCCAGTGGAAAAAAAAAAAAAAAAAAAGAAAACCTGGCTAATGAAACCCCTTTTGCCTGCTTTGAGCAAGAATTCATTTTAAAGGCTGCTTTACCTCAAGGCATTAAGTGTGCCCTGGTTACCTGTCTTCTAAGGCCAGCCAGTGGGTAATTCTGTTCTCCTAATTAGTTTCAGCACCGTGTGTTGAGCCATTGCCCACAGGGCACTTGGTGCCCTGGCTGGGTGGGGGGCAGAGGGTTCATCGTGTCGGAGCCCCCAAACATCCCCCTGCACTCTCTGCCTGTGAACCCACCCTGCCACCAGCCCTGAGATTGTGTGTCAGCTAACAGTGCTTTACTCATTAACCTTGGAAATGAAGCTCAGCTTTCTAAGGTTTCTATTTCTATCTTAAACATTTTTAATGCCTTTTTATCTGAAAATTAATGTAGTTTTTATTGCCACCATCGCTCCTCTTTACTCCAGGGTTTCCTGGGTGTTTCTCCCCCTGTGGTGCAGCCTTGTTATCTCTGGGTGCACACACTGTGCCCCCCCACTACTGTCACTGCAAGGCCAGGGGCTTGCTTGCACGTGGGTCTCCTTCACCCCAGCTGATCCAGTTAGAACATCCAGCCCCAAAAAGTCAACCTAGAAAGATATTCTCATGTTGAGCAACAGGAGAGGAAAAAAGAAAGATGAAAAAATCACCTCTGTGTTTTGGTTGCTTTGTTCGTTCTCTAAAGAACCGCTAGGATTTTCTGAACGGTTTGCTGAAATGTTGAAAACCGGTTTCACAGAGGTTGGATTCTTTTATGTAATTCATTATTGACACCTCTGGAATTATATGCGAGACGGATCTGGAGACAGCAGCTTTCCTACCTGCTAAATGCAGCAAGCTCCAAGGAGCTCAGCCTTAGTGCTTGTCATTCTTTTTTGGTTAATCACGGTGAAGTTTCGATCGACTTCACAGCAGAGCGGGGTTGTGAGGCAGGCGGGGTGTGCTGATATATGCTGATAGATATTGAGATATATGTATATATATATTGCATGGGGGGCTATGGGCGTTCTTTGCTGTTGCGGAGGCTCCTCAAGTGACGGGCTCTGGAGCAGCTTTCCCATCCCTGCTGGGAGCTGATGGGATGGAAGATGCGGCACCTTTTCCGCTTTTGGAAGCTCTGGGACCAGCTCTGAGTCAGCAGAACTGAACATTAAAGACCTTTAACCAGGCCCTGGTGCTGTGCAGCTGGGAGTTGCTGTCAGGGATTATCCTAAACCAACAGCGTCTGCTTTTCCCCAGGCCAAGTGGTGGGATTTAAATGTTAAGCTTTTCTTTGGATTTTTTTTTTGCGGGGTTTATTCCCTTCTATTTTTTACTCCCTGTTTTGTGTGTGTGTGTGTAATGTATGCTGACATATTTGAACCCACTATTAATCTTTGTCATTTGTATTTTAAAAATAACCTGGTGGTACCAGCCAGCAGCCCTTAAATCCATTTTAATTCAGGGTGACCCTGTGAGCGGTGCCCGGGGGCGGAGGTGCAGCTCCGGTATGCCCTGTGCTGGGATAACGTGTCACCAGCATGGTCACCCCCTCCAGCCCTGTCCGACTTCCGTGAAATTCCTCTTAAAAATCCCCTGCAGTTGGATTTATTTGTCCTTTCCTTCTGTAACAGCAGAATACTGGTGTTCTTAAAATCCATGAGGCCCACCATCCTCAGGGAAGAACACTGCGAGCAGATTGCGTGGCTGTTGCAATCTTGCATTTAAGGAAAACTAATCACCTTCTCTATGGGAGGGTGTATCATTTCACACACACCCATCCCCCCAGCCAGCAGGGTCAGAAAATATTATTACTTCCTTAATAATAAACTAATCTTGTGGACAGGAATTGTACCAGGATCTTTTAAATGAAAACCAGTTTTGTGTGTTTGCACTGGGCTTAGCTGCCAACTGACAGCAGTGTTGAAAAGTTTTAGCATACTGGAAATTTTATTTTTTTCCTGCAGAAAGAATTCCTCAGCCTTACCAATTTCAGTTAATCTGAGAAGCAGTGTTCATCTAAAATACATATTAAAAAAAACCCCAAACACAGAGAAGAAAATAAAGCAACTGTATTTTGGCATTTTGCTGTATAAAATACTTGACAGCAATTTTTTCACTTTACAACCACTTTCTTTTCAGTTTACATTCCCAGGTAATAAACCATGGAAAAGAGATGTTTGTGTTATGTTCTTTAAAAAATAAAAATATGTTGAAGCAAAGATTTAAGTGCAGCTGATCGAACCCCACTCTATGCTGAACCATAGTAATGCTTAAAAAACATGTTGGGGTGCTCTGATCTGGTGCTGAGTGGTTACCAGCCCTGGACCAACTTCCGAAACAATGTTCTCCGATGGCTGCTGCTGGTCCCATCCCTGGTGCTGCCTCCTCAGGAGATGGCTTCCTTCACTAACCCCACTCTGTTTTCTCTTTTTGTTTCCTTAGTGCTTGTACGGCTGCTACGTCCATTCCTCCATCATCCCCACGTTTCACAGAAGGTGCTACTGGCTTCTGCAGGTAGGATGGCGGGCGGTCCCTCAGCTGGGGGAGTTGGCTGGGAGGTTGGCGGCTTCTTCCTCCAGTGCTTTGGGGGGATTTTTCTCCGATGGTGATGGGGATTTCCTTAGTTGCATGTCTCTGTTCAAGTTATGGTACATGCTCTCTGGATGGGTTTCTAGCAAATACAGAGCTGATGACAGCTCAAACATTTCCTCAACCAAGAGTTGGCCCAAGTGAGATTTTTTTAAGGTTTTCAGTTGTTTTCCCCTTCTGAAGCGAGGTGGCACTGAAGCCAACTGTCGTGCTGGCGCATGGTGGTGTGGGGAGGAATCGGTCCTGTGGCTGTGTTGGAACTCCAGTGGGGAGTTTGGTCTCAAGGGAGGGTTGTTTTTTTTTTGTCACTCAGTGATTTTTCTTCTGACTGTTGTGGCCACAGTGAAGCCTTGGAGGAGTCAAGTGGTCCCCCCAGGGCTCCTGCACTGCTATGGGTGTGCTCAGCTTCATGTGTGGGAATTTGCCTGGAGTGGATGTTTGCTGGATCATTTATATTATTGACTGGTTATTCTTGCTTACAAAGTGGAAGCAATTTGTTTTCTTTTGTTAGAAAACAGCATTTGACACATACAGTAATAATATTATTGTTTTAAAGATTAAACCCCTGCAGTCTTGAAAACAAACAGGTCTGAGGAAAGTGACATCTGTTTCAACAAGCAAGTGGAAAATAATTCCTTTTTCCCCCTTAGTTTTGTAATTGCACTTCAATATTAAAAAAGAAGCTGTAGTGAAAGGGAACATGCACAAAACATCACTGTCCTCTGTGATGTTTGTGTGTGTCTCAGCTATGTTTGCATCCTCTGCATATAACTGCCAGGTGCAAGCACAGGGAAACATGCTTCTCTGCAGTGGTAGGAGCAGCATTTCAGCTCCAGGGAGCAAAGCGGTGACTCCTCAGAGCCCTCACACCGCAGACATTGAGTGCCTTTCGCCACAGCCCCTCGCGGTTCTGGCCTGTGTCTGTGCTGGGCTGATGCTGCAGGAGGGGCAGCGGGGTGGAGGTGCACCTAAAGAAGGCATTGCTCCGTCAGTGCTCCCAACCCAGGCAAACCTCTCTGTGCACCCAGGCAGCCGCTCGCCTCGCTCAGCCTGTCCCGGTCCTGTGACAGATGGTGGCATCCTCCCTCCACCTGGGAGCTCATGGAGGTGCCGATGCTGCATGTGGCTGTGGGCTGGCCAGCCTGTGCTTCTGCCCCCAGAGATTCTCCCCTCACAGGTCATCCCTCTTTCAGCCTGAGCTTTGTATTTTTTTGTTGTTGCTGATACTTGGAGGTACTGCTGGACTTGGCTGTTGTGGCAGTTAGTGAGCTGAGACCTAATGAGCTGCACTGCAGCACCATGGCACCTTAATACCTGCACCCTAAGCTCTGGCTCCTTTGTTTTCAGAGGGTCTGTGTCGACATTTAGGTGTCTTCTTTGCCCTGCTAATTGCTTTGAATTGAAATGAATGGATGTGAAGTACATCTCTTACGGCTTGTTTATAAAATGTAGTGCAGGACATCTCATTGTGGATGTCACATACTGGTGTTCAGACTCAAGGACACGTCGTGCCTTTGCTGTGGGAGGAATAGGGGTCTGTGATTCACGACAGCATCTCCCCGGCACAAATGGGCATCCTTCAGTCATGCTCTCAAGGTTATGCAGCCAGGGAGGAAAGAGCTGGCCAAGAATAGATGACGCTTTTCTCACATCTGCACAACATTTCTGTTCAGTTCCACAGTGAGACCAGAGAGAGGGAGCAAGGGAATTTGTGCACATGCTTCAGAGTCTTCCACTAAAACACCACAAAATGAATGACTTTGATACTCTGAAACAGGTACAGACAGGGCAATGTTTAACATTAACCTCCCACAAAATGTTTACCTTTTTAGTTTACAGAGGCAAAAGGGTGATTTTTACTTTTTTTAGAGAGTTATGTCATACCTTCCTGGGACACAGAGCTCTGCCTGCGAGTCTATGGTCAATAAGAAGTAAATGCAATTAGTCTGCAATGCTGCCTGTGTTTTATGGGATGATCTTCTTCCAAATCCTATTGTCAGGTTAGATATTGATTAAAAATCCCCATGCAATTGTTCTCGATCTTTTCTGACTAGCTTCTGCAGCATCAAGGCCAAGACTCAAACCAGTCAGAGCCCAGCGGTCTCTCTTGTGCATTTCTGCTGCGCTGTAGCCGTTAATTATCTGGCGGCATCTGATGTCTTACTTAAACAACTTTGTGTTGTCGTTTATGATTGACAGAACATGCCTTCTCCCTGCAGGCTGGGCAAAGGGATAAGAAATGGAAACCAGTCAGCGTGACCCACCAGTGGGCAGAGTGCTCTGGGACCAGTAGTTCTGCTGCATGGGCAGGGGCTGTGGCCGTGACAGTGGCCATGGGCTTGCACTGAACTGAGGGTCCTTCTCTCTGTTCTGAAGGGGTTTTACCTTTTGAGACATTTCAAGCTTTTTTTGATAATGGATTTTAAATGCTGCCTTAGCCCAAACACCTTAAATATTTTTGATAGATGTAATTGCTGAGGAAGTGTTGAGGTGTCTCTGCAGGAGACAGTCCAGCCCTGGGTTCTGGCAGCTCTTATGGACCCCTTGGAGCTGAGGAGAGGGATGGTAGCCAAGATGGTGGGGGTGCTTTTCTATATTGGGTTTTCATACTTTTTTGTCAGCTTTATGATTTCTGGAGATACAGAATCATGCTCTGAGTGAGAGACAGAGGAAAGGACAGGGCTAAGTATGTATCTGACCTCTGCAAGGGGTGCTGGGGAGGACCCCTCAGTAGCAGTTTTCTAACTATTTTTTTGCATTACCTGGTAGCCTCCTGAAAGCAGAAGTGCCCGAGCTGTTCCCAGTTAGTCAAGTGCAGAGCAGTGCTGCTGGAGCCTTTTTTTTTTTTTTTACGTGTAAGTGATGGCAGGTCCCAGACTCCTGGGAAGACTTCAGCACACAGGCACCACCCAGGTTTGTTGATTTGTCTACCAGCAGG